CACTGCCAGCGCAGCACCGTGGTGTTCACCACAGTAACGACAGCAAATGGCTACCAAAAACACGTCAGCACCGAGGTCATAGACGAGCCTTCAGCAGCATTTGGGTGGTCTCCGCCTTCAACATGGAAGCTCCTGCCTTGCCAATCGACTTCGCCTTCTTGTCCAGCAAGTCAGACACTTCTTTTGGGAGACCGTGCAAGCGACGGTGCTGCTGCAAGTCACCAGCGAACTTCACCAACGACATGCCATCCATTTTGCCCAGCACCTCGCTGTCGATTTGAACCTTGATCATTTGGAGCGTGCTCTTCTCACAGGAGTCCATGTTTGCAGCGCTTTGCACTGCATCACGCCAGTTGGCTGCAACAGCAGTCAGGAACAACATCGGCACAGCTGTCAGTTTCATGGCTACTGTTTGGGCAACAGCTGCTGAAAGCCCGGGTGGCATCACAGAATCACACACTCAACTCTGAATTTCCGGACCAAACTTGAAAGGCAACATTCCATTGCCAAAACACATTTAGTAGCCGCTTAGTACCCGCCCAATTTCAGCTGACATGATCAACCACATTCAACCACCCTTACTCATAGCTGAATCCTATAACCATGATCTCCTGTATTGTCACTCACTCTCTCTCTCTCTCTATATATATAATATAACTATATATATATACACATACTCATCACTGATCACGACTCACCACCAATCACCAATCAGCAGTACAATAATCATGATTGTCATGATTGAGCGTATGCTTAGTATGCTTTTGGGGTTCTTTGCATCTCCGCCGGGAAACTTACCATTAAAGTGTCATCATCGCGTCATGCCATGATTTGGAAGCCACGAGGGCATACAAGCTACAGTAGCCTTCCATGGTACTGGTGTAACCCTCCCCCTCCAAGCGTTCTGCCATCCGAGCATCGCCCGCAACGCCTGCAGCTTCGGTTCGCCTGGGAGACGGAGACGAGTCCGACTGAGCCCTGTGGGATTCCCTGTCTGAGCTTCAGCACGATCGCCCTCCCTGGCACTTGGGGCGCACGGAGAGCCTTGTACCGTCTTCATTCTTGAGGCCCCTCACTGGCCAATTCCTGGCCAATCACCCATTTAGCGGCCAACCGGACGAGCGGAATCTCCGAGATCCATGAACCGTCCCGCCAGCTCCCCACCAGACTCGCGCCTCCCATGTGCGTTGGCAACAGCCCGGCTGCCGCACACACCGCAGGGGAGGAACGCCCGGCGGGAAGGGCAGCCCTGGGCGGCGAAACACCCCTGTCGGTAGCATCCAAAAGCTACCACCGACTCGAGGCCCACCAATACATAGAAACAATACTATACAATTTACACATGCATATTTATATAATATTACAATAAATTAATGTTTAGACTCTTTAGAGGAAAACCAAACATGTTGGTCGGAAATGCCCTGCTTGATTGCTAAGAAAGTAAGTTGAACAAGGACGGCGCAAGAAGTGGCTTGGAAGAATCTGAGCAAGGATATATCTTTGCTTGATCGAGGGTGCCCAAATACGACTTTACCCGACAATTCTCAGTGCGACACATATTGAAGCAGTGGTACTTTTTTGTGTGTTTACAAAACACCCCCCATCCGACTGAAATGCTGCTCGTTTAGGGAAATCCGATTGAAATATGTTTGGATCTTCATGCCCTTTAAAATTGGAGACACTCACCTCCCAGCCCTTGAAGACAATTTTGTGACGTGCATGCACATCCCAAATAGGTCGAACCGATTCAAACAGTTTCAAAAGGCTATTCACGTTGCATCGTTTGGCAGTCCCATTTATCATTTCAACAAAAGAACGTGGACCATGAGGGAAGTATTGACGGTGGGAGACTCAACTGAGATTCCAACTGATTAAAGACTAGCCTTATGGCTTCGAGCATGGGAGGCGTCCGTGGGCTTTTTGAGAACCCTTCCCCATGTTTCATCTATTAATTGAGGATATTGTCCATCTCCGCATTCGCACGGTTTATATAAGTCTGTTGTAGGGCACAGTGCCATTCTGTGCCCCAATGGACTGCCAACATCCCAAATTCCAATATGAGCACCTCCCAATTCGACGGTTGTGTGTGGGCACCTGCACCCGAAAGCCACTCATACACAAAGAGGAATCCTCCAAACATCCCTTCCGAAATGAGGGGTGCTATTGCAAAACAAGCCCAAGATTGCGGGAAAGTCACCCATAACTACTGTTGCATTCCTTCATATCAGTGGTATGTCAGGTATGTCTGGAACATGAATCCATAGTTTGACCATACCTTGAGTGAATGATGTGGTGTGTGTGTGTGTGGGTGTGTGTTGAAATGCCGCTTCCTCTCATCACTGTTGGGAAACCAACACGGGGGACACCAATAACACAAGAAGTGGCCAGTGACCTTTGAGATCCTTTAGGATCCTTTAGGCAAGAATGGCTTGCACCCCAAGTGGACATAGCCCACTTCAACTTCCCCATATCGAAGCACTGGTGAAACCCTTCGCTGGCTCTCCAACTTTTTAGCCTAGCTTCGGTCCAAGCATTGCTCCACGCTCTTTAGCCTCGCTTTTTCGCGAGAAGGACAGGAACTTACGCCACCACTGGCTTACGTAAGGAAATTGTGTGTTTTTCCCTCATAGGGCCAATCTCTCGAAATTGAACAAGGAAGAGATTGAATTGTAAGGAACATACGTGCCAACAGTTCAATGAACAGGGTGCACAGGTGAAGATTGTGATCTAAATCCAACCACTTGGACATAACAGTGCCACATGTTGACATCTTCTTTAGGATCCAAAGCCGCACCACCTAAGGAAGCGCTTGGCACCTGCCCAAGGGTCTACCAGGTTAGGTTAGATGCCAGTCTTGTTCTTTCATTTGCAGTGTGGGTTAGGAGGATCTTTTCCTTTCTGGTTGCCACCCAGTGACACAAGAACACAGTCCCCATGGAGAGACCTACACGTTCCAGGTCAGCCGGTCGGCCCGAAAAAAACACTCCACCATAAGGAGTGGGCCTCAAAAACTCCGGAGAGGTCGGCCTGAATACATGAATCGATAGTGGCCCCTTCTACCAGAATGGTTTACATCTCCATCTGAGTAGCCCTCCACATACCCTTCTCAGAAGGAATTTGGGGCCCTGGCGCCTACATCATGTAGACTCTTGATTAGAGTCTACACCCCTCCAATTGAATGGGAACATTCTCCTCAGATTGGGGGGCTGATTAACTAAGAGTTGTATACAAGAAGTTCGGTCCGTGCGCCCTCGGGTAGCGCCGCTCGGACGGACGGCCGCAACGGGCGCCTCGCAGCGCAGCCTGGCCGTTTGCGCTTCTTCTCACCTGCCCAATTCGGCCCTGGGGGAAGAACACATACGCGAGTTGCTGTGAGACATGTTGGTTTTTCTATGAAGCCTACCCGCTTTTTCTATAAAACCTACCGTAACCTACCCACAAATCAAGTGAAACATGTCGACCAATCACGTGCTCAGCATCTCTGCCCCTTTCCCTCGCTTAATCATCACATGCCTTCACGTATTCCGTATCTTCTAAAGGTGATGGCACCAACATCCAAGACCTCGATCAAAACCACCCCTCGGGCTTCACGCACCAGTCAAGGCTTTGTAGGTTCAAACCTAAGGAGCCCTGATCCGCTTCGACTTTTGAAGCGACAGAATAACAAAGCAACTCCAGGCCTCCAGGCAGCAAGCCACCAAGCAAGCAACCCCAAATAACTTATATTATATTGATATATAGGGATGAAATCAACCAGTCAATCCAGGTGAATCCCCTCAACACCTTTGATCACAACGCTTCTCTGCCTTCGATCTCGACCTCATCTGCACCATCAGCCTCGGCAGGGGCAACAAACCAAGCCTTTCCCTCCCCCGTGGAACCCGGCTCTTGAACCACCTGGAACATAGGGACGAGCGGTGATATATGGATTGAAATGGTCGAATCCTTTTCGCAAACGTTTTGATTCCAGGCACCTTTCGAAGATGATTCCAGGTTGGTTGAGTGCATGTTTTTGAACCCCCCCACGGTAGCCCAGAACCAACCAAAACCCCTGCCTCTCTTGGCTCGCGCTGCTCCACAGGTAACTCGCCAGGTTCCTCGCCCTTCTCGGCGTCGCGTTCCACGTCGGCCGGCGGGTCCATGGCAACGACTGAGCAGACTAAATCGTGCCGAGCAGCCAAGAAGAACTGGTGAATTGATGTTGAGACCTTGAGACCAAGGTCTATGCTCAAGGAACCCTGCAACCTTGAGAAAAATGCAGATGTTGTGTCCACATAGAAAGCTTATTGACAGCAACATTGACAGTGATCTTGCCCAGCTCAATGTGATCATTGCAAGCATGTCAAAGACTCGAGGGCATAACGAAGCATCGAAACCACCAATTGTGGTTCAGCCTTTGAGCCACCGAGAATTCGCGAGAACATCGAGAAATATGGAACGGATATGAATGGGTATGGTCCAATATTGAAACCACCAGGGGGGTTACTGATGCTGCCTGGCCACCGCGCATGGATTCTTGAGCGGCTTCTGGCCAGAGTGTGGAGAATTGCAGGAACCGTGTGTCCCAACAATGAGTTTGGTTGGTGGCCTGCACGTGCACAGAAATCGCGAACAAACAAACAAATGATTGTTCCACTTTCAGGTACTGGTTTGATTCCATTGTCCATGTTAATTGTCTGTATATAGAGTTGCCAGCGTAGACTACCACAGGGAACAAAAAACTGGGTGACACCGGATGCCAGCACTACTACTTAGGCAGCGCTGAACGCTGCCAGTACTGCGCTCTATCGAGCAGGTTGATAGTTTCATTTAGGCCCAGGCTTGGATTGCTGAGGCTGCTTCTCGAGCAGGAATGTGAAACCAATTATTAACCAGAAACCATGCCTGAAAAATTGACAACGCAATCACTTGCCGGGACTTCTGCTTTTTGTTGAATCGGGAACGGCCCAAATACTGCAGTCCGACTGCCGACCCCAGCCACCCAAGCTTAGACCCCCGGCAGCTATCCGCCGTTTGTCCTCGGACCAAGTCGACTTGAGGCCAAGGGGGGGGCGAAAGCTAGCGCTCCAGAATGGGAAAGTGGAGGGCAGCGAGGTAGGAAAAAACACGGCGCTCTTTTTGGAGGCAGGGGTGAAGAGTCCTTTATATGTGGCTCTTTGCCCGGATCCTCCTGCGAGAGAAGAGAGAGAAGAGAGACGGAAAGACGAGAGACAGAGAGGAGAGAGAGAGAGAGAGGAGAGAGAGATGAGAGAGATGAGAAAGAGATGAGAGAGATGAGAGAGATGAGAGAGAGAGAGAGAGACAGTGAGACAGTGAGACAGTGAGCGAGTGCGGCCGCAAGATACGCAACGCTAACCGCATGCCAAAGAGCGACGACAGGACGGAGTCCAACTTGCGAAGAGGGAGGAGGGAGGGAGGGAAGGTGGGAGGAAGAGGAAGACAAGGAGGAGGAGAGGGGAGGTGGGGTGGGGAGAGGGGAGAGGGGAGGAGGGGAGAGGGGCGGAGGGGAGGGGAGGGGAGGGGGGGGGGTGAAAGAGTGACTAGGGCGTACACGGTAGAGGTGCAGACCGCTAGTGTCTTTTATGCGCAGAGTCTTATCCTCTTGCTCTTTGAGCCTTGAAGCAGTCAAGCATGGACACACTATATTTATATCAGCTGTTGGAGTGGAACCCTGTACAGGTAGGCTCTACTTTTCAGCAGGCACAAGATTCATGTCCACTTCTAGCTGATTGCGTATGTCGCATACTCTTTTTCTACTGCAAGGCTAAATCAGTCCAGCTAGCTCTGACAACTTAAAAGAAAACTACGGTGCCATGTACTTACCTAATCCAGTGTGTTTCACACTTCAGAGAAGGTAATCTCATAGCTACTAAATACAGTGAGGGAGCAATAGCTGACTCACCTCAAGTACAAAATCAAATCGATAATGTACCTCGGCTGGAGACTGTACTTTTCGCAGGCGAAGATACCATGTACCGGCGCTCACTAGCTCTTTAGGGCCTGAGCTAAATCAAACTAAAAGGGAAAGCGGCTTTTTCTCTACAGAGACCTATAAAAGAATCAAACGACACTCGCGTAACAAAGAACTAAAAATTCAAGACCGCACAATGCAATGAATTAAGATGCCTTGCAAAATGCAAGGAGCGTACGGTCCGAGGAATAATCTTCTCGTGACGTGGTCTCGACCGCTTTCATTCACAGACAAAATAAACTGCATCAAAAGGACTCTCTTTCACATTCACATCAAAAACACAAGAAGGAGATACCGGCAAATGTATGTACAAAACTTGCACTACAAATGCAGACTTATGCCAAAACTAAATCATCAACCATGAATGGTTGTCCATTAGAGGTCATCTCAGAAAAAGCGGCTGTGATAGATATCATCGGTTATGCAAAACTGTCCATACCTATCTGCATGCTAAAGCGTATAAACCTGGAATGCAGGAGTATCTTCTTTGATAAAAAGTTTCTCCTCATTGCAAACCAGAATTTATTAAAACTTCAGCCTGGCAACTTAAAGTCAAGCCTGGAAGCAAAGTATCAACTGTAACCAGAAGTATCTTCACTTCCTAGCCATCATTTAAATTTCAGCCTTCGCTCAGGAATTATGCCGCTGCAAACGATGAAGTTGCTTGATCAGAAGTTGGCGGCCTTCCTTTCCTTTTATTCTGCTTTTGTCTCTCCTTCCTCCGCAAGTTCGCCTCATGAAGAGTTGGTCCCATGCGATACTGTTTTCTGTCTCCAGATGAAAAGGAAGCTGGTCTGAGTGAAATAAACATTGGACCATGACTGTCCTCGTCGGTGGGCCTTGAGCACATAACCTCCGTGTCAATCATAGCAAAGTTCTCTGAAAAATTACAGATGAACTCCTTCGTGCTCACTGTGGAATTTTCATATTCCTCTTCACTCATTGAATGACCCCATTCAACAATGGTAGACAAACATGTATCGCCAAGCTGTGATCCTTGGTATTCTTCTTTTTCAACAGTAGAATATTCTTCCCAGAGTTTGTCAAAGTAATCTTCACACTTCTTGAGGACCTGTGAAGTTGAACTGTAAAATGTTCTGGGATTAGGTGCTTTGATACCCGGATCTGCTTTGACACGAGCTTCTGAAAACCTGCGGATCCAATGCTGCATGGTGCTGTAATAGTAGTTAGCCATTGGCTGCCTTTTGTACCCAGACATTCTGTAGGCCAAACTATTTGCATCACCAGAAATGATGTCCACCTCATAGACAAAACACTCGTAAAGCATCAATGCTGTCTGTTCTCCTGTCAGTAGGTGGGCATCCACAGCACGGTGTGTATCAACATGATAATTACAGACTCTGATGGTATGCATGTTCGCTCGAGTAAGTGGAACACGCTTGTCCTCAGGACCATAGTCATCAAATTCAAAGTCTGCATCCTTGAAATCTTGACGAGGCCTTGTTTCTCCAAAACAAATCTCGTAGATAGCCCAAGTTACATCACGCTGTTCACAGTGACCAAGATCTTGGTCATGTCCAGCAATGATCTTGACATATCCACCTGGTGCCAATCTAGCCATCACTGCAAGATTCTCCCAATCATTGAAACAAACTGTCCAATTCTTTTGCTCAATAAATTCCTTGGCAGGAACAAGAAGATGAGCTTCCTGGAGAATCACGACATGTGCACGTAAAAAGAAGAGCATGTTGAAGAAAAGGTTGTTCTCAAATTGCTCATTCTGAAGTGACATGGCGCTCTGTTTGCGTGGCCTCATTGCACTATCAAGTCCTTGGAGAAACCTTGGTGTGGTGTACTTCTGACCACGAACCATGTTGCCATAGTTCCAGGATAAAAATGTCAAGGACTCTGAGCTGGCCAATAAATTAGTTCCATATGGTTCTTCTATTCTTCCCTTGAGGAACCTTCTGCACAGCTCTTCATAGAAGGTGACAAAGTCCCAACTGGGTCCCTTGGGACCATATGATTCCAGTTCCTTCTTGAGTTCCTTTTTCGTATCCTCCAATTCTTCTCGAGCATGACCTGCCCTTTCAAGGGCCTTTGGATCGACCTGATACCTGCCATCCAAATAAATGATGCGGTCATCATTGATGAAGAATCTCTTCAAATCATGCTCTGGTTCATGTTCATAACAATCAGGTGGAGGTACTGGACAGATATTGCGAATGGATCGAACAAAATCATTCTCGTTGATCCTTGACTGATAATGAGGATGGGAAATCTCACCTTTTCTGAAACAAACATGATTCAGCAATCTTGCATGAGTTTCCCTGAAGCATAGTTGATAAAAGCCAATACCTGGATCTCCTGTAAGCTCTCCAAGCAACTTTAAAGGTGAAGTGTGCAACTCATAGGTATTGTCAACTTTTGTTGTATCCTTTTCAACAACTACTTCAGATGGAAAAGATTCTTGGATTTCAGCCTCCAATTTCTTCTCTCCATCATCCTCTCTGACCTCCTTTATCTTCTCCACCGCCTCTTTCTTCTCTTCCATGGCTGCATCATCCTGAACTTCTTCATGAAAATGAGGATCAGGAATCTTATTCAGGCGGCTTTTCTTAGATTTCCGCTGACCTGAAGTATCATCAAGGTTAGCATCCATCTCACCTGATGGTAAGTGCGATGCAGTCGAGTCCTCACCTATCTCTCTTGACAGAAAGTGTGGTGTTGACTCTTCCTTGGCTTCCTCCTGGTCAACTTCCATCTTTGGTTCCTCTGAAGGAAAAACACCTGCATCTTCATCAAATATTTCTTCTTCCTTTCCAGGTTCAACTGCAGGATCTTCTTCAGGAACTTCCTCTTCCATATTCTCATCTTCTAGAAGTGTTCTACTTCCAGTATAGACTTCACCAGTGATAGTGGAGACTCTTGTATAAGGAGGAACTTCTTCACCTGCTTCAAAAGCTTGTTCTGCAACATCCTTGGTGAGCAAGTCCTCTACAAGATTTTCTCCCTCGGTTCTTGGAAGAGGTCCTGAGGTCTCATAAAAATCTGTCCTCTCTGAACTGAAAGCTTCTGTCGCCTTCTCATTGTCCTTTTGATCCCTGAACAGGTGAGTAATCTTCACAGCTTCTCCCTGTAGCACCTGATCACCTCCTCTATACTTGTCGACAATGGAGCGCCATACTGGAACATCATCATCATCAAAATCAAGCTCCATATCATCTGCCAACAGGTATGAGATGTTTTGAGCTGCCTGTTCTTCTTCTTCATCACGTTCCTTGGCAAGCTCCTCATCCTTCTGGATCTTGAAGATACCCTTCAGGATGTCTTGTAGTACCTTTAAGTTCAGCTTCGATGATGGCTCATACGTCCCTGAACTTACAGGCTCAACTACAACACGAGAGCAAGAAATCGCCTCCAAAAACTTGGAATTGTATTGGCGTTCAAACTCTTCCTTCTTGATCATCTCATACAAGGGATCAGAAACTGCAACACGCGCCTGAACATACTCACGAAGTTGATAGCATGCATGTTGCACAAATCTACTGTTGGAGTTGTGAAGAAAACTCTCTAAATGATTCCTGTCACGGTCAATCAAATACCACACAATCCTTGCAGAAAAACGGAATTTCTTGAAGTTCATAGCAAAATGTGTATGATACTTCTCTGGATTCCTTTCTGCTTGTAAGGCGGCCTCTGAAGTCTTGTAAGCTGGGAGATTTGTGTCTGGATCCAAAATCATAAACTCTTCCCACAAGATCGAGTGGTCAAGAACCCACTTGGGAAGCACCTTGATGAAAAAGTCACAAACAAGTTCTGACACAAGGTGCATGACACGACCAATCTCTTCCTCCTGCTTGAAGCGATAGTGCAGTTTGGCAAATAAAGGATTGTTGAATGCTTCCTCCACTGTATTGCCAAAATTATCCCACTGAGGTTCTGGAATACCAAAGTTCCAACCCAGCAATTTGGGATCTCTGCACATATCCAAGAAGCTTGAAAGCTCTACAGAAGCAATGCCATGGTCTGTCAGAATTTCAGCCCAGCGGCGTCCATTCTCCCAAGCACGGATGAAGAAAAACT